GAAATCATTCTAATATGCTGATTTATTATCAGTGATAGAAAACGTTGTGCTGCTTAATATTTTTTTGAAACCTGTGATTTTTTTTCAGGATCCTTTGATGAATAAAAAGTTAAAAAGAAGAGCATTTATTTAAAATAGAAATCTTTTCTGACAATATACACTACCGTTCAAAAGTTTGGGGTCAGTACATTTCTATTCTTTAATTTTTTGAAAGAAATTAAAACTTTTATTCAGCAAGGATGTGTTAAATTAAAGTTAAAGTTAAGAAGTGATAGCAAAGATTTATATTGTTAGAAAAGATTTATATTTTGAATAAATGCTGTTCTTTTTAACTTTTTATTCATCAAAGAATCCTGAAAAAAGTATCGCAGTTTCCAAAAAAATATTTGGCAGCACAACTGTTGCCAACATTGATAGTTCTAATAATACATCGGCATATTAGAATGATTTCTTAAGGATAATGTAACACTTTATACTGGAGTAATGTCTGATGGAAATTCAGCTTTGCCTCACAGAAATAAATTATATTTTAAAGGATAGTAAAATACAAACCATTATTTTATATTGTAATAACATTTTGCAAGATTACGTTTTTTTTCTGTATTTTTGAAATGCAGCCTTGATGAGCATAAGAGACTTCTTTAAAAAACATTACAAGTCTTACTGATCTCAAACTTTTGAGCGGTAGTGTATATTGAATATTATATATTAATGTTTATTATTTAATATTTTCTTGTTATAAAAATACCTTTTGGCACAATATAAATTAATAAAATACAGAATAAAATAAGAAAAAATTTAATTTTTCCTGATTAATTGTTTGATTATTTGATGAATCAATAAATAGTCAACCAATTAGTCTATTAATTTTAGTTGCAGCTCCATTTCTAATTGATATGTAACAATAAAAAACTGAACCTAGATAGCTGGAAATGGGGGGGTTTGACAAAGAAAAAGTAAATAGGCTTAATGTTGCTTTCATGTTGACACTAATCTGTCATGTATACTTGTACATGTATACTTCATTCTGCTTACATGTTTGTTTTCTCCAAGATGGCCAAGGTGACAAGAATGCACGGGAATGAGACGACAATCAGCCTCATAGGAACGAGTGCCGGCAAACTGTGTGAAGGCAAACATCACACCAATTTTGTCCCACGCCAGGGAGTCGCCCACAAACACTGGGAAAAGTGTTGACCCCCACTTCATTCACCATCTTTCCTTCTATTCAACCTGTATTTCCTTTCCGCTTCCTCATATTGAAAATAAATCAGATATCTAGCTATATAAAAAGGATCAAATGAGAGTTTGAACATATCAGAGAGATTGCAGGGATTGTGGAGCTGGAGGAGGGCTGCTATACCTCACTGACATGCTGCTTGATCAATAGTTTTTTTTGTTGTTGTTGTTTTTTCTCAATATGGCATCCTGGTGCTGGATTTGAACTGGTTTAAATTAGGTAGATTGGTCAAAACACATCCTAAAATCATCCTGCCGCTTTTAGTTGCTCGCTGATTTGTAATACAAAGACAAAGTGCAAAGCCAAGGCTGAATTTTCTATCCCGCAGAGCACTCATAATGCAAGATTCAGACCAAATATGATTGAATTCCACAGCCCTGTCCACAGATTAAGATTTCTTTCAACACTAAGATGGCTGTAAATGTCCATTTGTGTGTGAATGAGTGTGCGTATATACTGATGATGTCACTTTAAAGAGGTTTTCGCTTTGTGTGTTAGCTTCAGAACCAAGCCAGGTCAAACGAGGAGAACATCGCTTGATTCTAATCTCCTATCGAGTGGTGACATTCCTCCCTACTGCACGCTATATAACAAAGGCGTTTGTGCGCTCCTCTGCTTTGAAACGACACGTCACACTCGCAGAGCCCCCCTTTAATCTCTCCAACGAGCATTGATCATGTTTCATCTTCAAAGCTGCTCTGACTACTGCGAATGCCTGTAAAAAAAAAAAAAGAAGAAAACCTGTTGTGTCAGACTGACGTGGCCGTTTTTGACGAGTGCACTAACCAATTAATTCCCTCAAGTGTATCTAGATGCATGCCCGCATTGTTTCAAATGTTTTATTTACAGTCTCTCTCTCAGTCTCCCTCCCTTTCACTTGCATAAACAGATCTCAATTGCAAGCTCTCAATATTTTTACCAGATTGTCTCTGCATCTTCAAAAATCTGCCTTATTTCATGAAATAAGTAGTACATAATCACAAACTGGTGATGGCAAAAATAAAAGGCAAATATTAAGTGTGTGGCTTTGAATGAATTAAATACTACTTAAGATGTTGAGTGATGCATTTCTTTCTTTAAACACACAAAAAAAATGTTTTGTCTTTTTGTTTGGGTTTTATTTGGTTTCCTTGCATATGTTTTGTTTTTGTTTTTTTGGTTGATGATTAAAAATGTATTCAAAAGGTTGATTTACTTCTTTAAGTGGTGCCATACTGTATATCAGATGAACTTCTGCCTTCATCCTTTGATGTTTGCTTTGCTATAAAACAACTATGAATAAAGTTATAAAGTTGTTTCCCTGGGCATTATCTCTGTGTGTTTTATGGTTGCACCATATCCAGCAGGTAATGTCTGCACAAAATCCATGAATATCTTTGTATTCGCTGAATTATTATCGGCAAATTTGCACATGCTTGTAAGCTATTCTGATGTTAGAGATTTTTCTATTATTTAATTTGCCTGCAGCATTCACTTTATAACTTCTCTAAAGCACTTAATGGATAAAATCGTTTTTATGATTGAAAACTTTAGATATCATAGAATTTAATTCGTTTTCAATAACAAAAAAAATATATAGAGACTGAAATCTTGGGTGAATTCCATTTGAAAGAGGGCATAACTATGCCATACTCACTCTGAAGGGCATAGTGCAGGCCACTTAACTGACACCTCTCAATGTCTTTTATTCAGTGTCATCTAATGTACTGTTTCTCTACATTCAGTAGCTAATGTTAATATATGTAACATTATAGTCCAGGAGAAACTGAGGTTTAATTAATTGGCTTTAGCTTTTAAAATGAATGGCACGGATGTGTCAGCTAGGATCACATGAGCATTCACTGCAAAATTACTTCCTTAAAATTACTATTGCATGTACTGAAGAACTGAAATCCTTACCTCACAGATTAAGACATTGTGTACATTAGAAAATTGTGCTTCATGGTGGTGCCAGAGGAAAGCTTATAAGTCAAAGTTGACAGGCTTTATTCTATCAGTTTCACAAAATTTTACCTTAATCCACTCAATACATTTCAAGATATGCATGCTGTGGCAAAGCGTTGCCCATAATATTAAATGGACATCTGTCAGTCTCAACCTACTATTTAGGCCAGTAAGCTGACTTTGAGAACGTGGACTTTGGGGGACATTTTTTTTGTTAACGTCCTCCAGCTCCAGGAAGATCTTCTGGAAAACCTCGAATGTGTATTTCAGTTTCTTTGGATAGCTTAGTTCCAAAGCATAAATAAGGCCCATTAGGTAGGTGCAAGCATGGGCTACACTGGGAATACCAAAAAGGACCTCTGTTCCCTCGATGGCTATTCCTGCTTGCTTCTTGTGACCTCCTTCCCTGGCTTTGTTGACCACAAAGATGTTGAGCACAAATGAAGTGAGGTCCTCTTGGATGGCTGCAGCATCATCGTCATCACAAACCTGTGAAACATACCAGAGAGAATTAAACCTAATTTTTGTTTGCTAATGTAAAGAATGCATATAGGTCTTTACTCTCCATCTAAACAGAAATCTGGGTGGGATTACGTGGTTGCTGTGGTAAATTTGAATTTGAATATATTCATGTATACTTTGTGCCTGAAAGTCACTCAAAGAGTGTGCTGTGTAAAGTAAATCCACGTACAACAACGTTATCTTCAAATTAAATGTAAAGCCTTTTTGTACAACAATTCGAAAACTAAAGACTATGGTAATGTACCAAACATCTAACCTTACTTTGATAACTTTATTCTTACCTTGTTCAGTCCGCATGTTCCTCTTCGTTTGGAATGTGCGGGGTTTCCAGACCAGACCAACGAAACACGAAGGGAAGTAGGGTAATTATTTTATATTGAGTAAATGAAACAAGGTTATTGTTTGTTGTGTGTGTGTACCTAAGAAGATTTGGTTGGGATTACTTAGATACATTTTGTAAAGGAAAAAAATGCACATTGTCTTGTATTTTGAACAAATGCAGATTAATTCAAAACTAGATATATTAATGTAAAGACAGAAATTTAACATTTTTTGTTAATATCACAGATTTAATTATGTAACATTTACATCCACCCAGATTAATTTTTTTCAGTGTAGGTAAGATTAATTAAATTACTGTGGCATTCAGGGTCATGATCATAGATGGCAAAATTATTTCCCTGAATTGATAATTGCACACCTTTAACTAATGTCCTTGTGCAAGGGCCCTAGTTATAGGAAATATTCGAATCAAAACCATTTTGTTATTGTCCTACAACCCTAACCCAAAATGCTTGACCACACTTTTTCATGTGCTTCTAATCTCAAACTTAATCTCCCGCACAGATAATATGTCACTGAACTCTTCCCGAGTCTCCTGTAAGAAGTACTGTGATCTCCAGAGATGAGAGGAACATGCCGCTGTGCTCCTCTAGTCCTGACCTCTCTTTAGGAGGTGCAGAGTGCTGTCGTGTCTTACGAGGGCCACAGAGTTCATCTTCAAAGAGATCCGACAAACTGGAGGATTACAGCAGGGGTGGATATTAGACAACCTGCCAACAAAGAAAACATCTTTGTTTCTAAATGGAATCGTAAAACGTTTATCAGTAATAATGATCTATGCATTCTAAATGAACCCCTCTAGCTAATTTCTAACTGGTTACATTTATGTCACTAACTAACTCTCATGTGTTATAGCACTCCCTGCTCTCCTCTACAGTGAGGACAACAGCCCTTAAATGAATGTCACAGTCTGCGTTTGCTGTACCTTATCAATATCTCTCAGCAGACGCAGACTGACCTCCATCACCAGCAGATGGAGAGATACGTGAAGCCCATTGCACAAGGTTCTCTCCATGTTTTGCGGTAATTACTTTGCTGATAACTTGTCCCCAGTGCCGTTACTATGAATTATTACACACACAATAAATGATTTGTGTCACTTTGCTTTTCTCCTCAGCCAGAGGACACTGAATTCCCAGGATGTAGATGGATCCACAAGGCCAGTGGACTTTTTATGGTCGCTTGCTAGAGAGAAACTGAGGCAGTTGGAAGGGTGCAAATTCAGAGAATGTAATATGGTGAATTTGAACAAAACAAAACATTGGTTGTGTCCACAACAAATGAATCCACAAATAACTGTTGTTTGTGAGAAACCTATCAAAAGATCCACACGAGGGCTACTATACCCAAGCTACCGCATAAATATGCCGAATCTAGTGCTGTAGATGTTGTCAAATATGTAATTACAAATTCATTGATAAAATGGGCCAGAGCTGTGGCTTCCCAGCACGATTCATTATTTTACACCCTGGTTTCCTGCTGCTACCCCTAACGCACCATATATTTCCATAACAAATTTCTCCATCAAGGTAGGATGAATAAAAGAAGCCTGGCAGCCCAGCAGGACATTTGCACCAGCCCCTTCTGCCCCGCACCTCAGCCGTGCTGCATGCGATGAGAAACAGAACGAGCCATCCTGATACGTTTCAACAATGCAGTGAGAAAAAGAAAAACGGGAAGAAAGCAAAGGAGAAAAGCCGCTCAAATAGGTCTCTTTGGCAGGTGGATAATGCATCGCCCCTGATTCCATGCTGCATTTTGGATGTTTTATTGGTTTTGACAGTGGGTTGTTTAGGGAGGTGTTAGAATACAGAACAATATGTTATTCTGTGCAGTCCTGCTATAGCTGTGCTAATACAGAATTCTGTATAGCCAAACAGCATCTTAATTATCTGTCATCTAGGCACAGTTGACTTTTAACATGAACCGCATATATTTTCAACCATTTTACTGAACATTTTTCTTTTATGACACCTGCTTTTAATATAACTTGGGAGTAAAGGTGAAATATTTAATTTACATGTAGTATTTGGTGTAGACCGGAGTCAGTTTATTTTGTTGGTGTAACAGCAAACTCATTCTCATCTGTTTGGAAAGGCAGTTTGGATAGGATTCATGTGAGTACGATTCACAAATCTCACAAATCAAGCTGTCTGAGTTTGATTCCCTAAAAAGAACCAACTTGTTCAAATAATTCATCTGCAAAATTGAAGTAAATGGGGTGTGCTGTATATTTTTGATTCATTTCAAAAGGAGGTGATCTACATCGTGTTGTATGTTTTTGATTTACTAAAAGGAACAGGCTCATAAGAGTCATTCCTTAGGCAGTCAGGATACATTGGTTTCATTGTATGTTTTTGATTCAATTTAGGGGAACTGGC